GTTTGAACCAAATTATAGTAATAATTTGTTGGAGAAGAAAAAAAATTGAAATATTTATTTTAAATATTTATTTTAAGGGTAAATATGCCAATTTAACATTTTAAGGAGGAAAAGAGCCACTTAAATAATTTAGGGGGAAAAAGTATTATAAATATATAACTCAGGGAGAAAAAGTGTCATTTTCAAATGATAAAAATTTTCATCTGGTGAATAACTTTTTGGGAAAAGGGTCAAATAGGCCCTTGAACTTTACGCGAAAAGTCAATTAGACCCTTAAATTTTGGAAAAGTGCAATTAAACACATGAACTCATTATTTTAATGCATCCCACCCCTTCAGCCAGTTAACCTTCCGGTAATTTGTAATAAAATCCACCATGGCAGCTGACTTGTCAAGAGATGAATCGCCACATAAGCAAATAAAAAAAAAGTCAAAACATGAAAAAAAAATCGAACCCATTTGCTCATCACCTCTTTCAAGAGATGCACGCCGGTTATGCAAAAGTGCAGCAGGCCTTCCGGCAGGGCAAACTTTTGTGTTCTCGTCTCCTCTGCAAGATTTTCCAGTAATGATGTCGGTTTCTCACTTTCTCATACCCTTTGTTCATCAAATACATTGGATTGAATGGGCCTTCGGTAACTCGACCCATACCTTTTGCTCATCACCTCTTTCACAATGTGCAGTCTTATGCAGAGGTGTGGCGGGCCTTCTGGCTGGGCGTTAAGTTCTTGAAGGCTTGAAGCATAGCACACCACCGGGTTGGGTCGGCGACGTAGAAATCGGTTGGCGAGGTTTGGGCGGAGCTAAGCTCTGGGCCAACGACGAAGGAGCTGGAGGTCGGATGACGTCATTTGGCAGTGAATTTTTGGGGGCCAGGCTGCATCTCCCATGGGAAGGGAATTATTATTCCTTGAATAGATGACATGCAATAATAGAAACAAGATGATTCTTCATCAACGGATGATGATGATAGTCTTGTATTGGAAACGATGATGTTGAGGGATAAAGCATAACCATCTTTTTCTTGTGGTCTGCAATAATATACTTTGCGATGCTCTTTACGGTAATATCATATCTGTTGCTTTTATTATTCTTAGCTTCATCCTGTTGTATTACCCATCAATTTAAACAAATTTCAACATATCGACTAGAAGATCAAATAACTCTCTCGTAATTGACAGACACACTAACTCACTAGTCTAATTATTCTTTACACGCACACATATACATATACATACTCGATCTACAATGGCTTCATATAAAAATTAAAGCTAAGGAAAAAAGAAGAAAAGACCAGATAAATAGAATAAAGCTGAACAATTTGAGGAACACTTTGCATGCGAGAAAATCATCAGTCGGCGAAGCCAGCTAAGTGGAATGGAGGGCCCGGTAAACTTCGGGCAGACTTCGGAGCACCCGGCTTACTCGTGAAGGCCTAGGCGAAGTAGCAGGCGATGCGCTGCATGGTGTCGCCGTCTCCAGGCTGCCGCTGCCCACGTGGTCGGCGCAGGTGAACAGATAGATCAAGTGCAAACCTCTCTCCTCAGATTTAAGCTCCTTCATCCACAAGTATGACGATTTATAGGAAACCGAGTAACCGACACTACCACCGGAAAAACTTGCAGAGGAGATGAGGACGGAAAAGGTTACCAGGCCGGAAATCCTATTGCACCTCCGCATAACCGGTGTGCACCTGAAGGAGGTGATGAGCAAATGGGTTTGAGTTTTTTCCAGGTACGAGGATTTATAGGAAAATGACCCCATCACCAGAAAAGCTTGCAGAGGAGATCAGGACGAAAAAGCTTACCAGGCCGGAAATCCCTTTGAACCCCGCATAACCAGCGTGTACCACTGAAGGTGGTGATGAGCAAATGGGTTTGAGTTTTATTTTTAACTTTGCTGATGTGGCAAGTCATATCTAAATTATATTGACAAGTCAGCCGCCATAATGGATTTTACCGGAAGTTATTGGAGGGTTAACCGGTTGAAGGGGTGGGATGCCCTAGAATCATGAGTTTATGTGTTCAATTGCACTTTTCTAAAGTTTAAGAGTCTAATTGACTTTTGGCGTAAAGTTCAGAGGCCTATTTGACCCTTTTTCCTAACTTTTTTAACTTTTTTTATTGACAACAACTGATCATATATAAAAATAGTTTTTAAAAAAATTGTCCAAATATTGGTGACAATAATAATAGTATAGTATGTATAGGATCAAAAGTATTGCGGTGTATATTGATTTGGAATCATTGCACTTTCCTAATTGATCCAACCTTTCCCAACCAAAAGACCATGAGAATCCAATTGTGGGCAGTGGTCCTTGCCAAGACAGTCACCACCGCATCATTTGCAGGGATTCTTAATTTCTTATTTGAATGATGGCTTCATGTACCCAAAGATCTCTGTGCTTGGACCACTATACATAAGGATTATAATGGAATGGATTCGGAACCAGATATTTATATTCATAGTCCGATCCACCATATTTTGGGTGAAAATAATATTCTGTAATACCATAAGTTAGAAACTATATTACATAAAATATGTTAAAATTTACCGTTTTCACTCACAGTTTTACATAAACGTTATAAAACAACGTTTAAAGAAAATATTTACAAACACACACATAGATACTTTTTCCACTTATTTCGTATTGGGATTCTCGGTTCTTTCATTCAATTCATGTTATAAAGCAATTGTTATACCATGGAATAGTGACTAGGTTTCACATTGTATTGTGAATTCTAATTTATAATGACATAAATATTCTTTATCCGCAATTGACATATATAATATGTAATATGTTAATTGAATGTACATAATATAAATATTGGTGTGCATTATTGCTTCTCCAATTTGCCACCGATAGGCCACTTTCATTGGGATTCAAAATTGTTATTTCGTGATTATCAAGTTAACCATCTATTCAACTTAGCTGAGTTGTCATATGAATATAGTTAATTTGTTTTACACATATGGTGCACCTTGATTATGATTGTTGCATTTGATAGAGGATTATAGGTTGAATAACGTTGTTTTTTATTTTTGTTTTGTTTTGTTTTGTTTTGTTTTGTTTTTTTTAATGGAGAATATAACGCTGTTAATTATGATTAAAGTTGTTAAATATAATTGTTGGGACTATGGTCTTAAACCCAAGCAATTGTATTAGTATTTTTTATCGTTTGGTTAATAGTAATAATCAATCCAATATATAGTACTCTTACAGGGCGTTTGGTTGGAGAGGGAAAATTACGTGGGAAAAGAATTGTAATTCCATGGGAGATTAATTACTGGGAATAAAGTGATAATTTAAATTTCAGTTTTTGGTTTACATTACTGGGAGTTTCAATTCCAATGTTTGGTATACATAGGAATTGAAAGGGAATAAGTAGTATAAAGTCTAAAATGTCCATTATTATTGTCTGGCATTAATTTTATGTTAAAAAGGAATGAGAAATTTTGACTTATCACTATCTTTTTTCTTCCTAAAATCCCAGGAATTAAAATCTCAAGGGGGGACATGAGATTTTAGTTCCATAAAAAATGTGAGAATTGCAATTACTTTCAACCAAACAATGGAATTTTGTGACATTTGGAATTAGGTGGGAATTAAGTGGGAAGATAATTTAAATTCCCTTCAACCAAATGCCCTGTTATGGGGTGTTTGGCAGTGGAATTGTAATTCATTTACCATTTTATTTTTTATTTTTGAAATACTAATGATTCTTTATAAGGTAGTATCTGTTTTATTCTATACTTCCTTAATCATTTTCAGCTCAAAGAATTTAAGTCTCCATCATCAATGTTCGAAATTACGATCATCAATTTGGAATGATAACATGGATGCCATCATACTACATAGTAGTTGACCCATTACCATTTATTTAAATAAGTGAAAATTTTAAGGGTATGGTTGAGGAGGAATTGTAAATCTCACACCCCCATAATAATTACAATTTCATAATATATGGAAAGAAAGTTTAGATTGTGATGATTAAATTATCTTCCCTAATTATCATTCATCTTTCCCTACAAATTATTAATTATATAGTCATTTTGGTCTTGTACTATTTATTCTCATTTAATCTCTATATACAAATAATATAATTAACTAACGTGGTGGCCCCTTAAGCAAATTCTTAATATTCATGGTTACCAAATAATGAAATTTCCTTTAACTCTTTTCAAAAGATTGAATCCCCAATTAAAGGCCCCCACATTCTATATAGAGAGAGTCAAATATTAGTATGATCAAGAAAGCTGTTAATTATGAATATAATTCTCATACTGTCATTGTCTTGAATCATAGTATTTTCCAGGGTTGTAAAAATCCCGCATAGGCACCAAGTAATCGGCGCCTAGGCGCTAGGTGCCCCTTGGCCGTGGCGATTTTTCCCCTAGACGCCCGGCCTAGTGCCTAATTCGGCCGCCTAGCGCCTAACTCGGCCGATTACGCCGAGTTAACTCGTTAATTTCTATTGAGTTAGCCGAGTTAACCCGGCTGACTCGACCTTGCTAATTTTTTCATTTATATATATATATATATATATATATATATATATATATATATATAATATGACATATATGCACCTACACACATGCACTGTTTTTCTTTTTTTTTTAGTTAGCCGCTCTAGGCGACCGCCTAGCCCGCTTAGGCCCCGCCTAGGCCGTCGCGCTAGGCGCTACTCTACCGCCGGACTAGCGCCTATTTGCTGAACCATTAAGTTAATTCTACCCTGAACACTTTAATTCCTTCGTTGCAACTAAATGGAGTGTTATGTGAATGATTTGGGAGAAGTGAATGATTATGGGGATGGTTAGGAAGAATACCAGAGAATTAAGGACACTTGTAAAAACTGGGCACCATAAATCTGTTTATTGTCATACTGACACAGTTCCCATCACTATTCTGAAGCACAGCATGCCCGCATACCAGCAAAGCTCTCTCTCATTCTCTCTCTGTATATCTCTTTTCTCTTTTCTTCTTGCATTTCTCAATCTATTTTTTCTTTTTTCTTTTTGCTCTGTATATAAAGGCCAATTTCGCCAGCTTTGCTCCGCCCTCCCATGTTGTGTGTGTGTGCAGATATCTTTCATTTTTACTCTATTGATTTCTCCAAGTTCTTGAGTTTATCGAGTTTTGGAGGTTTTTCTTTTTGTTACTAATTTGCGATATTGTTTACCTGTAATGTTTATGGCTGGACGAGCACTGAATTGCGGTTAGTTGCTGAATCTAACAAAGTGGTTTCACTCTAAGAATTGCGAATTTGTTATGGGACTGACTGTATCATAAGCAATGTGATATTATCGGAAATGCATTTCAGTGTTCTATACGTACTTTCTTCATTTTCGAGGCAAACATATTGTTCTCAACTTAGGGAAGATGTGCAAAATCACAACCTCTAATGACTTGTTTTAAGTTCAGCTCTGTCACAATTTCCTCTGGTTTGTTATTCAATTCAATGAGCATGCTCAGTATCCTTAACTTTATAGCATTCTGTCTGCTTTGTCTAATATGAGGGAAGTGCCTATTTAACTCATAAGATTCTGATTTCATTCTATTTCTGGTGGGGCAGGGAAGTGATTTCAATGGAATGCTGTATCTTTGATATGAAGATTGGGCAGGTAAATTTATGTCCATATTCAATCTTCCTTCCCTCAACTAGGTCTGACATTTTTTAGGTTTGATGTACATATGCTTCTTAAAATTGTTGTCACATTTCAGTTGAACCTCTGGAGGTTTTGCTTAGATTGAGTCACAGTAGGTGATCAGATTCTTATGATGTTCCTGTTTCATTGAATTCAAAGAAAATAGTTGTCAATTTTGTGCTTTCTACTACTGTATTTGACACTCTGATGTTCTGTTTCTGACTGATTAAATTATAAATGATATGAACATGTGTTCAGGTCAAAGTAATTCTATTTCATGCATAAAGTCTTACTAGAAACACAGACTGATCAATTGACATCTTTCTTTTTTGCTGTGGGATATTTTGGAGGTCAATGCAGATAGTTGATGTGCTTGCATTTTACTAAAATGAAGAATACACAGGTTATTGTGCTTACACTTCCACTGAGCTTCTTTTTCAGTGTCTCTTTATTACGTGATGATACTCCCTGTGCTCTAATACATGATCGCATATTAATTTAATTTTTGGGTGCCGAAGAGTAGTCCACTTTCAAAAGTAACATTCTGTTTGGTTTTATTCGCTGGTTATTGCTTAATGATACTCCCTCTATCTGTAGAAGAATTTTGACCTTTCCATTTTGGATGTTATACATTAGTCATAGTCTTTCTTTCAAAGACCAAAGTTCATTTAATTGTAAATTTCTTAATTTACCCCTCATAAATGAAGATATTGACATTAAATGATATTCATTTTACTAATTAAAGCAAATTTAATGATGATAAATGCAAAATTACAATAAAATAGAATGCTTGAAGTGCACTTACTGTTTCTGTTGGAGAATATTGTACTTGGTCAAGTGGGTTATCATTTTTGGATAGAGGGAGTACCATATTTCATTGTATCCTTTCTTAACAAATACTATTGATGATAAACAATATGAGATTAATGCTTGCTACTGCTGCAATAATTTGTTTTTAACTCCAGATAGTGTTGTGTGTGTATTATAATAGTGTCAGAAACAACCATTCTAATTCCATATTTAATTATTTTTGTCAAGTATCACATTTTATTAATTAATAACACTTATAAAATTGCAGGATTCACAAAAAGCACCGAAGAAACTGCCATCAAGACAAACTTCTCATGACTCTCAAAATGATCAACAAAATAATACAACAGAGACTCCTGTAGCAGATGCAGGATCAGTTTCTGCATCGGGCAATGCGAACAGGAAGGTTTCACCTGAAGATATTGAGCTAGTATGATCGCACCTGTGTTTATACTTCTCTGTTTGGAACTTCTACAATGAGTTGAAACTTTAATTTGAACTTTCTATGACAAAATTGTTGGTGTAGGTACAGAACTTGATCGAGAGGTGTTTGCAGTTGTATATGAATAGAGATGAAGTAGTTAAAACACTTGTGAATCGTGCAAAGATACATCCTGCATTTACAACTCTAGGTGCTGGATATATTTATGGTTTTTTTTTTTTTGGTCAATGTGCTTATTTTGGCTCTTTCATCAAATATTTCATTTTTTTTCAATAGTTTTCTTTGAAGGCTTTCAAATTGTAGTTTTCACAATATATTCCTCTGGTAAACAGTGTGGCGAAAGTTGGAAGAACAAAATGCTGATTTTTTTCGATCCTACTACATAAGATTGAAGCTGAAGAAACAAATCCTGTTGTTCAATCAGTTGCTCGAGCAACAGTATGCCCTAACAAAACATAACCACATAGTTCCGCTGGCTCCTTTTCAGAATAGAATTAATTGCATGCCAGGTAAGCTTTCTTTAATCATTATTATCATCTGAAATGATCACTGGGATGGTCTACTTTGAAATAGATTACTATATTTCAAATAATTTTTATACCTTTTCTCCTAATGTTAGTTGCTACCTAGTCTTTGACAAAATGATTTAGATCTCGTACTATTATTTTGACTGCATTGCTTTTGGAGTTAGTAACATTGAGATGATTAAGCTGTGGGTGTAGATAGTATATCGATTACTGTATTTAAATGCAGAGGCATATTGCTTTACCAATTCACATCTCAAAGATTTAAAAAATGTATTCTCTTTATATGGCCTGGTATCATGAATGGAGAAAAGCTGTTAAACATTTTATGGCCTTCATTAAGAACTTGGAAAGTAAATAACAGTTCATTGAAATTGTTTTCTGCAGCTAGGAGTTGTACTGGTTTGTGGAATATTGCTCCCTTCCCTGTCCTTTCTTATTACATCAGGAAAATAACAGATTGCTCCCTTCCCTGTCCTATCTCATTACATCAAGAAAATAACAGATAACACATATAAGAGTAAGTTATAATGTCAGCACTCAGCAGAATATAGATACTGCTAGGGCAACTTATAACAAATGGAATACAGATTAAAAACATGGGTGCGGGGTGCCTCTGACATAATGAATATCTGTAGAATTCTTATGTCCCTTATCTTTCGAAGAAGCGCAAGTGACTTGGAAGAGCATTCGATCATTACTCTTAAGACACTTTTTAATTAGATTGTATTTACTCTACAATCATTATTACTCACTACTGCTTGTTTCTACTGCAGTCAACAATTTACCCATGGGATATCCAGTCCTGCAGCAGCCTCCAATTCCAGCTGCAGGTCATCTTCATCTTGATTCAATGACCATTTCTAGCTTCCATGTGGTCAATGGGGTGCCTGCACCGAGCAACTACCATCCAGTGCAGATGAATTCTGGAAATGAGTAAGATTTTAATTTTCTTAAGCTCTTTTTACTCTTAGTTCATTATTAAAGTGATGGAACAGATTAGAGTTTTCAATGTTAGAGGGTCAAAGCAAGATCTGAATTCTGAAGGGAAAGAACTTTGTGATTGAGGTGGGGAGTGTCCCTAAAGCATAATTGTAATAAAGAAGCAAATTCCAAACATCAATGCTTAGCAATTGCAGTGGTAGTGAACTGGCGATTAATCCATAAGCGATCTATTAAAACTGTTCTACTGTGTAGTGTTGATTTGTTTGTCCAGAAGCATATACTGGCTTGATGCCCAGAATTGTTCAGGTTTCTTATGTCTATCTTAACTTTTAACTTGAGCATCTTTTCTCTTTACTCGCAAGCATTTATTTCGTCATAACTTTTATCTAATAGTACATATTGCTCACTATGAGTGTGGTTATACTTTGCTAAGCATACCTCTCTGTTTGGAAGTGCAAAGAAATATTGTATTTGCATTTTTGAAACTAGTGTGTAGCTTGCCAAACTAACCAGTTGTGCATCTTCAAGTTTATTTTATTTGGCATTATGGACCATAGCATAAGATGGCTTATTACTTTGTTGAAGTAAAGGGTATATAGTGTCTATGTTTTTTTTGTAGTATGGTGATAGATACCAGTGCATCAGATATGGCAGTAGCTGTTCCACATAGCAATGCTTATTCATCTATGGCAGATATGGCTATAAGCCCGACATCAGTGGCTTCCAGTGGTCATTTCCCCTTTACTGGATCAGAGATACTTGAGATGGGAGTAGATACATCTGCCCTTCACACAGCATTTCCATCTGATGTTGCAAGCTCAGCAGGGTTGCAACTCCCCTCAGATAATTGTGCTGGAAATTCAATATCCTTGGGTCAGTTTCCTTGGAAGTTCAATTTTTCAGACCTAACAGAAGACTTGCCAAACTTGGAAGGTAACTCTACCTTAGACTGTGTTCAAGATGCTGTAATTATCATGGCCTTTTTCAAACTGTTTTTGATGTTGAACTGTCTTATTACTATTTGAGAAAACTGTCTCCAACTGGGAAATGGATCGGTACTTGAATATTTCCTCAGCTTTTGCTAGCAGGCATGATTTAGAATAATAACTAGTAATAAAGTAAATACTGATGAAGATGTAATCTTAGTTTTAAGATTGTTGGCTTCTCTAAGCTCTATATTAGAAATAAAATGCTCTTTCAGCATAAAAGATGATTTTCACTTAGCTACCTTACCTCCACAATGTTCTGCTATCAACATGGGACATATATACCTATATTAGTTGCTTTTATGATCAACATCATAAATGATGCTAGAGGTTTTTTCAATGGCTTCTCTGTTTTTACTTTTTTCTTCCATTTTCTCACTCTGTTGTTTTTCTGACTGGTGGTAATTGTTACCCTGACAAATATCAGATTTAGGAGATCTCGGAAATTACCATGGCGCACATTTTTTGCATTCTGGTTCAGATATTCTACTTGATTCACCCGAGCAAGAGGACTTGGGTAAGAAACTCTTGCCTTCAATTTCCCCTAGTAAACAACAGAATCAATTCACCAAATGGTTCGAGATGAGATCTTCTACCATCTTCACGCACAATTGATTGTCAACAACATTGTTAGAATCAAGTATAAAACTTAATTAAATCAAATATAATCATATTACATATTACTAGTTTACAACACTGGAATATGAAATGTACTAGTCTGACTGCTCAAAGCCTTCTGGAAATGTTAATAATGCATAGACAGAGAGTTTCTCTTGGATTCCACACACACACACACACATCTTACAATCTCAGGATGGGCCTTAACTATAGATCACATGGCTTAAACTTTGGATTGCATATTCATCCAGTTCATATAGGCCTAGTTAACATGAGCTCGCTAAATATGGCAAATTCTCACACAATATTGAAGATGATTCTGATGCTTCTGTGTAATTATTCTCAGCTAACTGATATTTATGATTTTTGTATGGCTTTGTTGTAGTAGACGAGTTCTTTATTGATTCCGACTCAGGGCCAATATGTCCTCAAACTGATGAAGAGAAACCATAGCTTATGTTGGTGTTCTCCAGATTCGTTGAAGTCCTGAATCCCAGGATAACTGATGTTCTGTTGCAAAGAGAAATCAAAGCACCAATCAACATTACTTGCGGCGTTTAGATGTCTCAGACTTGATTATCTGAAAAAGATGTAGTATCCAAATTTTCTTAGTATAATCATTCATGGTTTCTATTTCTATGCTTTACCATAGGTATTGATTGAAATCAACTAGAAATAGCTGAATGTGGTAATGCAGTTTTGCTTTCTGCAACTTCTGACAATAGATGATATATTTTGCTCTTTTAATACAAATACTTTTGGAAAATAAGCCTTGAACATAAATGCGATTAGTAATTGAATAAACCAATAAAAGAGCAAAATTATATCAATATGGTTAGTGATGTTTTGGAGTTGTAATCTGTTAGACTAATACCATTGGTGGGAAAAAAAAATTGAATGCATTATGATGGTTGACTGGTTGTCAACTGGTGACCATTTTAACGTTTTTTTTTTTTTTCCTCCTCTCTTGTTATTAGTGGGTCTTTTCTTGCAAAACCATGAAAGGCCCCGGCGGCACGTTTGCTCGGTGAATGATGGATTGATGGGTTTGCTTGCGAGAGCGGAAGAAAGCTTCTATGCCTTGGTTGTAATGAAAGTCATATCGATTCACCCTGAAAAACGGAAAACCATAAATTTTCTGGGATTTCTCGCAACAGGAGCGCAGCTTTGAACAAGAACCATGCTCAGATGATGATGACATTAACGGGTAGACTTGAAATTATAGCGAAGCTGTACTGGTTGACGAAGGGCGACAGATGGACAAGGAGACAGCTTCTTATAAATACCTAGACTACGATTTATTTTTTTTAATTATATTTTTTTTGATAAGAAACGCATTAGGCAAATGAGTTTTGCCTATTTTTGTCATTAATCCAAAATTACCTTCCTTCTCCACTTTACATCCCATCCCTTAATACCCAAACCCAATTAACCCCCCCGAGTTTCTCTTCCCTAGCTTAATTGACATTGAACTTAAACCCCATGGCTCCAACATTATTAAAAGGCAGGAGTGTTTTCCCTTAACAATTTTCGATGAGAAGTTTTATGGATTTTTCTTGGTTGTCCTCTTCTGTAAATGTTGTGTTATTGCACTATGCACTGCTTTCATTTTCTTGTGTGAAAGATCGCGTTTACTTCTTGTGAACATTTCCATATGATTTGTTAAATATATTTTCATGCGGATACATTCTAATAGCAGAATTGAAAATTAAACAAGCATGAAGTTCATAAAGTAAATTATCTGTTGATAGAATTTGCATTGTTAGGAGAGAAATGAATCTCAGAATCTATTCAGACCCCAAAACTATGAAATACTTCTGTATTCACACTAAGAAAATGTTAAGTGAAATTTACGACATTGCAGGCTTAAAATCTAAGAAATAGTAAAGTCAAACCCCAAAACCCCAGAGAAGGCACTTAGGCACCTTGTTTCTCTGCAAATACCTGGGAATCTGCAAGGAACAATCTTCTCTGATAAAAGAACTATCTCCTAGTCCTTTGATAAAGGGGAATTGGCTCAGCATTTTGCGTTGTTGTCTCCTCTCGAAACGGTTGAGTTGATGCATCTGCTATAGTGGGTAACCTGGAAACGCTACCTTTCCCTTTCCCTTTCCTTGCATTTGGTCCAATCTCCTCTATCATGTACTTCCACCCATCAATAGGCCTCCTACGACTAAATATGTGTGTCTTTATAAAACTTGCTATCTGCATGGAAAGCATTCTATCCCACCTCAGAAAAAGAGAGAAGGTCACAGTAAAGTTACAATAAATATAGTTGGCTCAAGGGTGGAAGCTCTGGGATAGCCACTTATCACCACTAGGTTGCATATGATAAGCTTCCTTGTGAGTGCAAAGCTGGGAAATTGTGGTGAGTCTTCAGCTGGTTGAATTAGGCTAGCTTCTTTTGTGTGTTTTTGTTTTTTTTTTTTTAGATTTTAACAAAATCCAAAATAAATGTTTCATTGATAACGCTAAAAAGTCTTGCTAGAGTAAAGAAATACAAGTGTAAAACGAAGACATTTTGATACATGTGAGACATAGAGTTCATTATCTGTGGCATTGATTTAAGATTCTTGAACTTTAAAGTCTGTCCTGGAATTTGATTAGGGTGAAGTAGAGAAAAAGTGTATTCCTCAGTCTTAGCTGAAAGATAGTTTTGTATGGGTTAGGATGGCAAATGGTATGTCAACAAGTCCTATACACATGCCAGGGCAAAGTTTTGCTGCAGTGCATTTTTGCCATTGTTATGATTTATGTTACTAACAACTAGGCAGGCAATTACTTAGTTTCTACCTTGTAAAGGAAGGCTGTCTAACATTGAAATACCACATGATCATAATGTCATGGGTAATAACACCATGTTTCATTTTCTTTCTTTCTGGTGGTGAAGAAGTGTACCACCTCCAACCCCCCTATCTCAATATTTAAACTAAAGTTCTAACCCTGGGCCTAACTGGGGAGTGGGGTGGGTGGGAGCTGGGGACTTGAACTCGATAATTGTCTTGGTTCTCAACAAACTGGAGAGGCAACACATGAAAATCTTGGCATTTTTAGCGGTGTATGGGATGGTATGAGATGATTCAGATGAATGGACACTTAGTGACTGTGTTGCATTATGGTTGCCATCTCATAGAAGCTAAGTGCAGAGTCATAGAAAATATGGACCATTTATCTTTTAAAATTCCTGTTATAACTTATTGAGGTTAGATGTATTGTGGGGGCTATCAGCATATGGATATTAGGCAAATGCAGTCAGGGACTGAACTCATGCTTCCCCTTTAAACATTTTGTCTACAAAGGACTCGTAAAATATCTTGAAAAGTACCATATCAGCAAATCTATATAGCAAACAAACCTGGAACTTGTTGAATGCAATCCGGCGCTCAAACTCTTGAAGCAAAAGATCTTCTTCTCTCTGTGACATCTCCCAGATATTCCCCTCTAGGGTTTTTGATGTTGTTTCCCAGCCATCAGGCTTATTTTTTATCTCAGAGCTAGAAATGTGCAAATTGTTCAACTCATCATTGGCAGAGTCAAAAATCCTGCATTTATTAAATGAACAACAAACCATTAGACTCTACTTTTCACAAGCAGCAACAGATAGGATCATACTTATTCTGGAATCAGAAATAAAAGTTTGGAAGTTGAAAGAGCAATTGCAACAATACTCTCTGAATAAATGGCTAAGTCTTACACTTTCACAGCAATATTCAAACACACTATAGTTGAAAGTAATAGTGCAAAGATGTATACGTACTCAGAGGCGCTATGAAGCAATTTTTCGATATCGTCAGCATTGTTCCCATCTCCAAGCTTGGCTTCCTCCATCTTCTCAATCTCTTTCGCCCACAGATTCGCATGGACTCTTTGTTTCTTAATCCTGTAATCGCTCCTAACATTCTCCAAACTGTAAAGTGAGCTCTCATTTTCACTTTTCTTAGCCGCAGAATCAGTACTTGAATCCTTTTTCGGAGTTTTGCCCTTCCTCTGATCCCAATTGTCGTTCATATCCTCCACGAACGCCCTGGTTTCGGTGTCGACCTCCGTAGGGAGAAGACTCTGGTGGGAATTATTGGAGACGTTGGAGGTGTCATCGGGGAGTGAGAAGTTGACGTCGGTCTCCCACGGAGCTCGGTTCTTGCCCGAGAGGTCTTCCGGGAGCCAAGCGGTTTCCCACGCGTCGTTCCACTCGTCCTCACCGGTTTTGCCGGAGAATCGGCGGAGAAATGTAGGGGAGGAGGCGGGGTTTATTAGGGGCTTTCTGAGAATAGTGAAACAGAGTCTTTGAATTTGGTTCATTGCTTTGAATACACTACTTGAATTTGTAATCTGGCGTCCAGTATATGAAACTGTAAAACCTCACGGCGGCGCTACTGTCGTGGGCCGGTGTCGGAACGGGAAGCTCCGGCGGTGTATGATTTCTGTTGAGTTTAGGGCTTTAGGCCCATTTTTTAAAATGAATACTCCATAGGGCAATTTATATCGTGCACCGCTATGTGCGCCCAGACACAAAATATCTGTATTTTTTGCTGACGTCTCTCTGTCCGTTTAAACATATCAAATTTTATTATGTGTATTCAGTTAAAAGTTTATGTGTATTATGTTATGAGTTTATGTGTATTTAGTTAAGAGTTTATGTGTATTATATTAATCAAATTTCATTATGTGTATTCAGTTAAAAGTTTATATGTATTGTGTTATGAGTTTATGTGTATTCAGTTAAGAGTTTATGTGCATTATGTTAAAAGTTTATGTGTATTTTGTTAATAGTTTATGTGTATTATGTTAAGGGTTTATGTGTATTATGTATTAATGTATTATGTTAGATTATGTGTATTTTATTATGAGTTTATGTGCATTCGAAATAGAGATTTTTTTTTTAACTTAACAAAACGACGTCGTTTTGGGAGGCACGGGATGCACAATGTTATGTACGCTGTGGTGCACGGTATAACGATTGACTCCATAGTGAAAATAACTTCCATCAGTCGTTATATCGTATGCCCCGTCTTACCCAACGACGTCGTTTTGGTGCATTGTAAAAAAAAAAAAACATATCTTGTTTCGAATACATATAAACTCATAATAGAATATACAGAAATTCTTAACTCTTAACTGAATACACATACACTCTTAATGGAATAAACAGAAACTCAAAACACAATACATAAAAACTTTTTACTAAATACACATAATGGAATTTTGACTGTTTGGACAGACGGAATGACGTCAACAATTGAAACGGGCGCGTTTTGTGTTTGGACACATATTGCTATGTGCGCTGTGGTGCACGATATAAATTGCCAACTTCCATTATATAGACTAAAAACCAAATCAGATAAATGGGCCAATAGCCCATAAATAAACCCAACGTTTAAAAGCCCGTCAGGATTTTGGCCCGAAATTAGAATATATGAATGGATTCTCACCTTGTCATGCCGCTGAAACCCTAGTTAGTGCCTCAGAGCTGCAGAATTTAGCTTCCATTGCCGAACTGAGGTTCTTACCTCCGGCGGCCCAGCATGGTGCACGTTAACTTTTACCGAAACTGTAAGTCTTCTCATCCTCGACTTGTCTCCCCTGTAATATTGATGGTTTATTATTTGCATGTGATAACTATTTATGCATTCATGTGTGTGTGGTTGATTTGTCCTGAAATGTGCCTTGTTTACATATAAGTTCGAATTAGGGTATTCCTATTAGATTAGTAATTTGGCAAAGTTATTATGATTTCTTTCTAATTCCAATCTTTAATTTTTGGTTTAATGGTTCATATAACCTCTACTTAATTGATTGTTAAGTGTCATTATATTTGTGTTAATTTCTCAAATAAATTGTTAAATTTATATGTATTTATCTTTAGAATTAGAGGAAAGAGACTGTTATTGTATCTGTGATTTCAAGTAATGAAATGCAGAATGGTTTACCTTATTGACTTGTGTCAATAATGTGGAAAATTTGCAAACCTGCTAAATGGTATGTTTTAGTTTTTCTATATATTATATACCCCTTGTTGGGTTGTGATTGTTTTGTTCTGTGATAATTCATCAAAGTTTCTTATATTTTTCTGTAATCTTTGGAATATAGATGGAAAGACATTCAAGAAGCCTCGCCGTCCATATGAGAAAGAGCGTTTGGATGCTGAGTTGAAGCTTGTGGGTGAATATGGGCTTAGGTGCAAGAGGGAGCTTTGGAGAGTTCAGTATGCTTTGAGCCGTATCCGAAATAATGCAAGAATGCTTCTAACCCTTGATGAGAAGGACCCACGCCGTATTTTTGAGGGTGATGCACTCCTGAGGAGGATGAATAGGTATGGCCTGCTGGATGAGAGCCAAAACAAGCTTGATTATGTCCTTGCCCTCACAGTGGAGAATTTCCTTGAGCGCCGTCTACAAACTCTGGTGTTTAAGGCTGGCATGGCAAAGTCAATCCATCATGCAAGAGTTCTCATTAGGCAAAAGCACATCAGGTATAAATTAATTCTACAAAAAAAAAAAAAATCAGATAATTGTCCTTTAAAAGTTTTCTGTGCATATCTTAGTGGCTCAATTTGGATCAGTGCGCAGTTTACATTTTATAGAAAGTGAAAATTTGTTCCTTGGAATTAATGCATTTATGCAACATTTGGAGAGAAAATTCCTAGGTCATAAAGAAAATTCCCATATTATTGAGACACAATTTTCCTAGGTGTAGAATAAAGCAGTTACATATCATACAGAGTTCCTTGGAATTAAGGCACTGGTTACCAGTTAGTAACTGAACTGCAAACACTTTGCAAGATCTCAGTTTAATGTTTGATTGTATTTAACATTGACCCATAGGTTAGCAAACTTTTATTTGGAGTCATTTTTGTTGCAAACGGTTCAGCATTTTTTTTTTCAGTTAAAAAGCCAATTTAATATGACCGATTCCATTATTGTTTAATGGTTGATCATTTTTTTAAAAATAATTTTTTCTTGGGTATATGACCCCCTTCATCCACTGGCTACAATGGATTTTGACTAATCCAGAGTTAAGCTGTTGTCAAAACCTATTTTGGGGATCTCACTATGTTTTTTGTTCCATTCACAAGGTTTAAACTCAAGACCTTGTTTAAGTGAAACCGAGATCCTTTCATGGGGTCAATCAGTTGCTTTATGAACACAAACTACTCCCTATTGCACACTGCTGTATCTGTGATTCATCTGGGTGCTTTCTTATTTTTGAGTATGCTGTTTATCTCACCACTGCTTTAGAAATTATTTGTCTCTTGCATAATACAGTGTCAGTATATTTGATGCTTCTGATGAATTTATTAGGGCTTTTTGTGTATTTCAGTTTTAATATATTTGCAATGCCTACATTTTGCTAGTAGGGTGCATGTTTTATACGCTTGCTTTCATTTCAGGGTTGGAAGACAGGTGGTCAATGTCCCATCCTTCATGGTCAGGGTCGACTCTCAGAAGCACATCGATTTCTCACTATCCAGCCCATTCGGTGGTGGCCGACCTGGTAGAGTGAAGAGAAAGAACCAGAAGGCCGCTGCGAAGAAGGCGTCTGGTGGTGATGGAGATGAAGAGGATGAAGAATGAGCTTGTTTCTTCTGTGTAGTAGGGTTTACCCTTTTTCCCCAATTTGTTTGGAGGTTATTGCACCTTACTACCCTTTTGCCAAAAGCCCAAAACTCTCCGAGGTCTTATTGCACCTTACTACCCTTACAAGCTTTGAGTTTGGTTTTGTTTTTAACCTTTTCTGTTGTCTAATCTATTTATTGCCCTTTTGTACCTTTTGTGGTTCTACAGTTGGTTTACATCTATTATAATTTAAGTTAAAGAGATGTTCTATTACTTCAAGATGCCATCCAAATTCATTTTCTTTCTTCCAAATTTGAAACTTGAGCTAATTGCTATGAGTAGATTTTGTGTAAGGTAATGTTTTTTTTTAGTTATAATGTAATATTTTTATTGACTCATAAAAACTACTCCGTATTACATTTGAATTGAAAATATTACATATAAAAAGACTTACATAAGATTTATTTAATTGTTAATTTCTAATATGTTTTCCTTTTTTATTGGGCAAGGACTCTTTTATAGTGTCCCTTCTCAAAAAAAATTGAGTGGTTATCAAGATCAATCTTTCTTACCCACTTGAGTTATTTAATTTTAAAGTAAATATCAGCCAAGGTCCCTCGAGTTTGAGTTTGGTGGTTTCACCACCTATAGTTCTTAACTTCCATAATTACCATACGTGGTCCTCCGAGTTGCGAGATCTGACCTGCTATCATCGCGCCGAGCGTCGTTATATCCGCTGCTTCCCATCTTCTGCTTGCCGGCCGAGAGAGAAATGGAGAAGGACGAACCTGGATGAGAAGAGAAGAAGAGACATGGATGGTGGTGTTGTTGGTCTTCTATTGTTGCCGTCAATCTTAGATGTCAAATTACATTTCTACCCCTACTTTTGACGGCTTTGACGGAAGAAACTAATAATGAAGTTAGGGACTATAGGTGGTGAAACCACCAAATTCTAATTAAGGAAGTTAGGGACTATAGGTGGTGAAACCACCAAATTCGAGGGACCTTAGCTGGTATTTACTCTTTAATTTTAAGTCCCAATATCAAATATCAATTAGCTCTTGAAAGTTGAAAGTCTAACATCTAGCCTCATTATCTTTGAGCGCATAGTGATTAGTGTATTTAAAAACACTCAAAACTAACCATATGAATGAGAAATTTGATTGTTAAAAATAAAAATAAAAATAAAAATAAAAATTGTCTCATATAAGTCATATATTTAAAATAAATGTGAGTTTGGATTAATATAAATGGCTCGCTATCTTTGAGTGCATAGTGTATTTAAACACACATTCCTTGTAATGTTTAAAATATTTTACTCTGTATTAAAATGTTGTCTTTGCACCGCAGATGGTGGGTTGAGCAATCGATGAACCCGTCCCCTATCTACAACGGCTCAGTGGGTAAAGCTCATTTTGACGGCTCTGGGTCAAATAGTGATAACAAAATAGTTACAATTTTTTACTAAATACAGATAATTTGTGCCAAAAATTAGATAGCTCATTTTAAGGACACATTGTAAGGATTGTACAGATTAACCAAAAATCTCTAGACACACGCGTGGAGGACTTGACACTTCGTCAAGGACGGAAACAATCATGTAGAGTGCTAGTGCTTGATACATTGTCACCTTAACACGCGGTCGATGACATAGGTAAAGAGCTTAGCACCTAACCGTAAATTGACTCAAAAAATTTGTCACCAAGCACCTAATTATGGATAAATGACAGAGGACTCGACACCTATTATTTGGCCTAGCCAAGAACTGACATAAAAAAACTTGGCATTTGACACTTACTTGAAGATAGTGCAAAGGGTCGTCTGGCCATACTTAGTCTCAATTATTATATCGTAAATCAGGATGCACCATACATATTGTTGAAAATTAGCATGAAAATGACATGTGACTGTGAGTAATTCTTTTTTAGGCATTGTTTTGAGTGGCATTCTCTATCGATTTGAAAATGGTCAAAGTAGATTTTAGATTTTTTTTGGTTGAGAGGATAAATTTCATACACATTCACACACAAAACTAATTATGGTTGAATGAGAAACTGGTTTTTAAACTTTACCTATAAAGTTGAAAAAATAGAATTGGAAAAAATTGTAAATGAGAGCATTTGTCCCATATTTGGAGTAAATGTGAGTTTACATTAATATATATGTGTTTCAAGTTCTTATAAGGTTTGAAATAAGTTATATGAAGACTATCCCTGCTCCATGAAGGGTGAGTGGCTGAGTAGCAAATCATCTTTAGTATTTCTGTATTTTTAGGAGGTCCAACATTAAGAACGTATTTTAACTTTAAAATTAAGATCATATCTTCTTCTTCCCCGTCCGAATTTGGATACAACATAGTTAAATACTAGAATCATGATATAACTTACTGATATCCATCAATTTCTAACGGTCTAATAATGATAACAAAATGATTACAAATGTATTATTAAATACACATAATTTTTTTGCCAAAGATTATATATCTCCTTCCAATGACACATTGCGAGGATTGTACATATTGACCAAGTCACCAAGGGTATGTAGGTACGAAATTTTGTACCTTAAGTGTATGAATTTTGTATCTGAAATAAAGTAAATATAGCATGCATTTTTGTGTTTTGTCTTTTGTGTTTTTGTGTCTTGTGTTTTGCGTTTTGGTGTTTTATGTTATACAATTCTGTGCTTTAAGAATATTGATTTTGTACCTGAACTAAAGTACCATGTAGTGTGATGACATTCCGGTTATCATTGCAATTGGATGGTAAAATGTTTGAATCCCGATTCCCGATGGTGGGGGCTTAGATTCTTTGGGCTAAAAATGTTTAACAAAGTATAGAAAAGAAAGTATAGGTCATGTAATATAAAACATGTGTATGTGTCTTGTGTTATGAAAGCATATGGATTCTGTACATGAAATAGATTAGTAGTTGTGTAACATATAACATATTACTTTATGTATTATATTATGAAATTATGTGCTTATATGACATAAATTATCTACATGTGTCTGTGTTTTGTGTTGTGAGTTTTTATGTCTCGTGTTATGAAATTCTGTACCTAGAATAAATTAAAATTTGTATAGAAACATGAGAAACGAAAAACTACAAAATCTGTTAAAGCTTAAATGTTAAAGGGAAAATGACGCTTTTTCCCACTGAGTTATATACCTATAGCATTTTTTCCTCCTAAATTATTGAAGTGACTGTTTTTCCCCCTAAAATGTTAAATGGACATATTTACCCTTAAACTAAATATTTAATTTATTTTTTTCTCCAACAAATTATGACCATAATTTGGTTCAAACCAAACAAACACTACTATAGCAACCAAACCGAAATATTCCAATTACAATTTAGAATCGAAATTCGATATTTAGAGTTAATTAAAATCGTGAACCGGAACAGACGGTTCATGTTCCGAACTGAAAAAATAAAATACATTTATTGTTGAATTTAGACTATTTTAAAATAAAGACGGTTCAAAATCGTGAATCGGATCCGGAACCGCCGGTTCACGGTTCAAGATTCAATTTTTTTGATACATAATTTTAATAAATTGACATTTAAATATTGGGTTCTAGATCTGAATTATAACCGGAAACTATTAATTCGATTGCTTTAGTATCCGGTTCAATTCAAACCGAATCGTGGTCATCCCTACGTATACGCAATAATTTGTTGGAGTAGTAAAATAAATAAAATGTTTACTTTAAGGGTATAAATGTCAATTTAATATATCAAGGGGAAAAAACACCACTTTTAAAATAATTGAGGGGGCTAATGTGCTTACCTAAACAATTGAGGGGGAAAAATGCTATAAGTATATAACTCAGGGGTAAAAAGTGTCATTTTCCCAATATTAAAATTAAACCGTTTTGTGTTGTGAGATTTTTATGTCTCGTGTTATTAAATTCTGTACTTAAGAGTATTGATTATGTACCTAGAATAAATTAAAATTTAATTTGTGTTGAAACATGAGAAACGAAAAACTACAAAATCTATTAAATCTTAAATGACATCGTTTTAGTCCAGAGTCCACAATTCTACGTAGACTCTAGTCCACGATATAAATTATTGTCAAGAACTAGTGTAAAGAACTTGGCAATTATTTAAAGATAGAGCAAAGGACCGTTTGGCAATACTTAGTCCTCAACAACCATGTTCAATAAAAACAAAATCGAAATTTTCTTTATATATTAATTTAACAAAATTGATTTCATTTAATAAAAACATATATATTATTTGTCATTTATGGAATATATTTGTATTCTATAAAAAAAAAAAAAATCTGAGTAGAATCATTTTATAATCCTTATTCTTAAAAAAAGAATAAAATATTTATACCTTACTGATTTTTATTGAAAATAGATTCAGTTACTCATCTTATCTTTTACCAGTAGTTTTTATATGTTGTCTCAAAGTAAAGAAAGTTTCAAGTACTTTTAACTGAAAGTGGGGGTTTTCAAAATATATAAAAGATTAGGGTACAAATTAGAAACCCAAAAACCCGTCCAATTATCTTTTTCACCCCCAATCTTTTCAGTTTTGCCCATGAAACCCCTAACTTTTCAGCTTTTCATAATTTCTTCCTCTTTTACAGTTCTACCCCTTTCATCCTACCCTACATGAAAAGTTCAGACTGTAACGAAGAATAGTAATCAGCAGCTTCATCTTCGAACTCCCACAACCCATCATCACAAAAAGAAAACGTCAAATCTCCGCCGTCCATTTCTTTCTCGTCACTGTTATCTCCGCCGTCCATCCCACTACTGGGAATACCGAGCTCGTCGTCGGAAGCTTCAAGAAGGTGTCTGATAACACTGACTCCATCAGCGTCTGCGTCTTCCTTAGATGCAGCCGGGCCAACAGGTCCGCCCAGTTGCTGGCCCGGGTCCGGCCCGGCGTCATGGGCCGCCGAAGAGAGCTCTTGCTGGAGGGAAGTGAAAATGGGGGACAAGTAGTCTTGGTTGAACTTGGAGTCTGCTTCTTCGTCGTCTTCAAGAATGGAGATGATGCGGTTAAGTGAAGATTTGCAGCGCTTTGAGTTTTCTTCTTCCTGGGTTTCTTCTCTCTGTCGTTTTAGCTGCGTTTTAGGGTCTGCCATTTTTGGAGAGATGAGAGGGAGAAAGGAGATGGGATGAGGGGAGAGTGTGTGGGGGAGGAGAGGTATATATAGGAGAAGGAAGAAGTGGACCGGAGGTCCGGTCAAAAATCAAAATTAACAAGTTTGCATGGACAGTTTAGTTAGTCGTGGATGAAATTTTAGAATAATGACTTGTGATGGAATTTATGACAATATAATGTAGGAGTAACTTCTCAAAGTGAGGGACTAAACAAATGTCTAGTGTCTGTGTTTAGCTGAATTACCATGATTTATATCCTCCCAGTGATAGGAATTCTTAGGGTTGAGATTTAGCTTTTTTGAAAAAATAAAAAACAAAATTAACAAGAAAGACAAATAGCCATGATTTTGTGTAGTCTAATGGCACCCGGGTTGGACTCCCATATAGGAGGTTATGGGAGGCTGTAACTTTGAACCTTAGTTGAGGCGTTATTAGCTCTTTGTGAACAAGAAAGACAAATCGAAAATATTAATGCAAATTAAAATTCGTGGATGGACCCACTCATGTAATTGATAATTAAAAAAAAAATGCGGAGTACAATAATAGTGGATAGTACTGTTCGGATCGAATCGTCACTGTTTCGAACTGGTCCTATACTCCTATCTCTCTTCTATTTTATTATTATTATTATTATTCATAAAATTATTAAAGGACAAAAAAAGAAAAAGCAAAGTACTAGTTTCTGGGTCTGATTTCTGTTGGTTTTCATCGGAAATCAGTCTAGTCTTTACTGATTTTCATCCGAAGAAGGTAGAAACTAGAAAGGCGAGGATAGCTGAAGAAAGCCGATGAAGCATTTGCCGAAGAAAGCCAAAGAAGAAGTTGCGGAAGAAGCCAGGAAAAAGAAGGCGTGTGGATCTGAAGAATGACTTCCCAAAAAAGGGAAAAAATTATTTTCCAAAAAAAAAAGATATTTTCTCTTGACTAAAAATAATTTTTGGTTGACTTTAATTTTCACGTTTTTCTAAACACTAGAAGATTGAAAAATGATATATATATATATATATATATATATATATATATATATATATATATATATATATATATATATATAGGCGCGATCTGGTGAGAATAGTCGCTCATGAGAGAAATAAGAATGCATGTCAGCCATTCACGTGTCTAGATCAACGATTTTTTTAATTTTTTTTTTTTTTTTTGTGAATTCTTTTAGTCGCCAAAAAAAAACATCTTTATTATTGAAAAAATATATATTAATCAATGGACCCTAGGACATTAGTCTAGTGGATGAGGAATTTCACTTAGGGGGCGTTTGGTTCATGGAATGTTAAATTACCTTTGGGAATGTTAGACTGTTGGGAATGTTAGATTCCTGTGTTTGGTTTAAAACCAAGATATGTAAATAAGACAACGATAATAAGATAAATTGATTAAAAAAATACAAAGTTCAACATTAGTAATAAGACAAGAGAATGTGAGATTACCCAAAAAATTGGAGGGTATCTCACATTTCTTTGCAATAACTAAAAATTTAATGCGTAGGTTATCTGACATTCCCTGGGAAAGTCACATAACCTGAATCAAACATGTGAATCGTATATTACCAAGCAAATATAACATTGGTTATCTTATATAACCTAAACCAAACGCTCTTTAAGATTTTTTTTTTTTTTTTTTTTTTTTACAATAGGGTGAAGGTTTGGTTCATGACACAAACATTATAGTTTAGGTTTGGGTTAGACTTTTCTACAGTTTGATATTAGGGTCCATAATATAATCCAATGAAAACCAAATAAGTGGATTATCAAAATAATAAAAATAACCAATCAATCAATATAATACTGTTCTTTCCAAAAAAAAAAAAAAAATCAATATAATACTGTTATAACAGAGGGAAACTCATAAGTCCTAAGTCCTAATTAATGCAAAGATCGATCCGACGATTGTGACCCATTACCAGAAGGCATTTTATTTAGTGCGTAATTTAGGTCTCATTTATTGAAAAGTACATGTATATTTAATTATATTGTTGTTTATTTAGAAGTTGTTGTAATTGATTCTAATTAATTTTTATTTATAATGTGTAGTCAATAGTTCAGCACGGTCAAATGTCGGTGTGCACAAAAGATATGCTTATTTTAAGAATAATTCTCACATTACTGCTGTCGAGATTTGAACCTTAATTTCTTCTTCTAAATATTATATATTGACTTAGTGAGCTAAGCTCTTATTGACAAAAAATACAAATTAACTAAATAAGTACAATAAAGCCTGAATACAGTGACATTGGGAGATTAGTTGGTCAGCTAGAGAGTAGGTACATTAATACAAACTAGGAAGCGATATTTGAGATGATTTAATGCGTAGGACTATATATATATATATATATATATATATATATATATATATATATATATATATATGTCATGATGACATTTTACAAGATGGTTGATATGGTCATGTTTGATAAATGATTGTTAGATGCTAGCTGATTGAGTTAATTAAGGGATATAACTAGTTAATAATATTAATTTATTATAGGAATGTGTTTAATAAATTAGTTGTTTGTTGATTACTTTTTGGTATAATTTCTTTTCTCAGAGAGTTAATCGAAAAAGTTACTATGAGTAGCTCTTTGAATTTTAGCATTTTAAAGTTACAAAAAAACTGATTAACTAAATATTTATATTAATTTTTTAACCTAGTCAAACAATTAATAGTAGTCAAATAAATTAAAATTAATTGATAAGCTAACTATATATTTTACCAACCAAGGCCATAATGTTTTTTTTACTTGGTAGTGGCCGATCGGTCAAGCAATATGATAGTATATCAATCGTTACGACGATCAACTTATTTTATCAGTCTTGCGCCTAGCTAAATTAAACTACATATTTCCTAACTGGTTAAGCACAAGTTGATCTTCCAATAAGCTAATCCTTGGATTAAAAAAATTGACTAGGTCTACTATTCGCATCATTGGACCAATTAAACTGTTTTATAATTCTTAAACTCTATATTTCATTCTTCCAAAAAGCTAAACCCCAACCTTAAGGGCTTCCCACACCGACAGAGCGGTGGGAGGTTGTAAATCATAGTGACTCAACTGAACATTCCCGACAGAGCGGTGGGAGAGGTTGTAAATCATAATGACTCAACTGAACATTAATTATAGAGGCTAGACCGGTGCTCACTGCGCACAAGGAGCCCCCCTCACTTTGAGAAGTTGCTCCCACACTGCCGCTGGTGAGACTCGATCCCTGGTCATTCTTCCAAAGTTTCACCTCTATGACCAGTTGAGCTACCCATGCGGGCTTATATTTCATTATTTTATTGATTGAGGATGAAGAATATAAGATTCAAATTCATACGTAGTATCTAATAACGTATAATTAAATCAAACTCTAAAATATTTACAATATTGAACTACTGTGTATCTATTATTCTGTCCAAGTCAATGAACTGCGTGCCATACATATTCAAAATTGGGTAACATTTAAGTACAGTCATTTGTATATTTTTCGAAATTGCCTTATCAAAATAATTGTAACTTGTGGACTGGGCAGCCATTCAGGACAACATTCAAACGACTCGAGTGCATAAGTCCTATTCCAACCAATTTTCCAATTTGACGGAAAAGGACCATTTAATATAATCAAAACTACAACAGAAAAAAAAAAATCAAACAAACAAACTAACTTTTTGAATTTTAAATAAAAAATTTATACTTATTTAAAACTTATCATTACAAGGTAGTATATGTTCTATACTTTGTCAAATATTTTCAGTTCAAAAAATCTGAGTCCCATCACTTTTGAACCTATAACCATCTATGATAACTAGGATGCCATCAAACTACACGGTAATTGACAATTTAAATTAATCTTATAATAGTGATGATTCCAAACGTCATATGAAAAAATATTAAAAAAAAAAAAAAATCCCTACGCTATCTCACATGTCGTTGGACCATAGACTTTTGGGAAGTTTTCTTGGTCCAAAGCACATCACCTACAAATTTTTTGACAGTTTCCATTGATGGTGACATTGAAATTGTAATACTAGACTACTAGTTTGAATTTTGAACAATTTCATGTACAAGTCTATCTTAATAAAATTTTCTTGTTTTATATAATTAACCATAATCATTTTACTTAATTAAAATTGTTACTAAAAATCGACCTTCTAACTTACAACGTAACATATTTATTTCTTAGAATATATTAAGAATAGAATAAATCCTTAATAAACATGTTGTATCGCTTCTTTTACTCTCTTTCACACAAATAGTATTTTAAAGATTAGATTAGACATTCTCATTCTAAAGAGAATAATCAATCTTATGCGCTAAGAGACTTGATATTAGCTTATGTGTGTGTGTGTGTTTGTGTGAGATAAAATATACTTTTATCTATATATTGAATGAATTCAAAATATAAATTCATTAAATAAAATAAACAAATCAAGTAATCAAATTCACCAATTTTATTCATTAGCTTATTTCCTTTGTCAAGATGGATGACATCAAGTATTCAATTTAATTTCATAACTCTCTAAATTTGAGGGGTATGCTTTAGTTTTATTAGTTGATTAATTATCGATTTATTGTGTGCTTGTATTATTTATTTACAATTTTGGAATGTAAAATTGCTAGGTTTAAGAATTAGATTTGAAATTGACAAAAATTAATAATGATTCTTTATTTCGCTATCTTGATTTTCATCTTAATTCCTCAAATTTTGAAATATTATATTCAATTAATCAGTAAAATAAATATCAATTAATTATTTAAAAAAAAAACAAAAAAAAAGTTATTGTTTTGACAAAATTATTGACAACTTTTTATTTGATAAAAGAGTGACAATGCATATTTAAATAAATGTAAAAAAAAATCGAAAGTAATGTTTGACAACCGTGTTGATCATACTCATATAATTATATATTTCATATATTATTGCACATAATACAATTAAAAATAATTATCAATAATAATCGACAAAATCTATATAATGATATTATATGG